TACTTACATGAATCTAGATGGTACAGCCTACTACAGACCTAAGCTACATGGTAGAGCCTATTACTCTTAGTCTACAAACCTGTGTATCATGTTACTGTACTGAGTACTTTAGGGAAATGTAACACAATGGTAAGTATGTGTATCTAATCATATCTAAAGATAGAAAAGGTATTAAAAAAAATTAAAAAATGGTACACCTGTATAGAGCACTTACCATGAATGAAATTTGCTGGACTGGACGTTACTCTGGGTGAGTCAGTGAGTGAGTGGAGAGCGAATGTGAAGTCCTGGAACAACTGTACATTGCTGTAGACTTTATAAACACTATCTCACAAGCCTTCCCCTTCCTTCTTTCCAACGGGGTCAGGAATAGAACAATGCTGCTCCATGCACATTGGAAATATTGAGAGAAATCGGCTGGGTGAGGCATAGAACACCATAATAGTAACTGTCAGGAGAGAGTGAAAGCTGGCCTGAGGATCAGTAGGAATAAGAAGTCAAGATGAAGAGATAAACATATGGGGGATTGTCATGGCAATGTGCTTTTGGCTATTGCATGTTAGAGCAGTGGTCAGATTGAGGAACTTTGTGGCATTCATAAAAAAAAAAAGAAAGAGAGAGAACATTTAATATGGTCAGGGTGTAGAACTGAGGACTCAATATTTTGACTTTATAAATTAGTTTTTGTTTTATTGACCCTATCTGGCACAAAGGGCTCTCTCTGACACTGACCTGATGGAAGAAATAAAACATATAATGCTTTACATCATTACAACCTGAAAATACTTCCAAAGTTCAGGGATGGGCTGGCTCCACACTAACACAGAAATATTTTACTGAAGTGGCAGTGGCACTTCACGTTTGTTAAGGTTGCTCTTGTAGACCTGTGTCTGTGTGCGGGACCTTAGATCGTCGACAAATAATTTATGGCAATTGTACACTGAAAACCATAATGTTAGATCTGGGAGGCCTGTAGCACTCTCTGAATATGTAGTGCTGGAGGAACAGGCCCCTATGTGTTGAAACAGGTCAGTGACTAACTGATTGAGATGTAATCTGTGCACCCAAAATTCAGGTGTAAAAGCAAAATTCAGGTGTAAAAGCTGTGTGTAAAAGCAAATCCATTGACAAGCCCCTCAGATACGGCTACTGTCAGAGAAAAAAAAAAAATTCCCCCTGAATCACATAGCCTTCCATTTCTTACAGGAAATTCAGCTCCATTATAATTTTATGAGACCACTGCCATCTATGTGATCTATCGTTCACCAAAACGTCATTATGTGGCACATGACTGTATTGAATGAGGGTGGAAGCTGGCTTCTCACCCAAGATATGCAACATGTATTTGCCAAGTCTCTGAACCAACTGTTTACCCTGTCTTCTTACTCATAAAATGGAATCAATGTTTATTTAACCTGTTTGACTTGTACACTTGTCATGACAGGCCATAAAATAAAGCATAAGAAAATTTCAGAAGCACTTTATGAAGAAGTATATTTTGGCATTACCTTGCTTATGGTATACAGCTGATGGTGGAAAGCACTGTGGCATGGTCTTTACCCATATCCTTCCATCCTAGAAAGTAAGACCGATTATAAGTGCCCCCCACTCCTGCACACAAACATGTAGATTGAGAAAAGAGAAGCAGAGACACGTTAAATAAATTGTCCAAGACCTACAGATAATGAATGGAATTTGATCTCAGGGCTATTGGTCCTCAAAGTCCATGCTGATAAGCTGTACAAAAGAGAAGATTTTAGACAAAGGAAAAATAAAATAACATGCTATAGTCAGTTAGTGCTGTCACTAAGATGTATTAATCACCATGTCCTAACAGCCCTAACATTATAAAGAATAATAGATAAATAAACTGAGAAAGTAAGTGGCTTTCTCATGATTGAAAATGGCACAACCAGAACACAAGCACAGGAATCTTCTGCCTTCTATGTAAGAGCTTTTCATATTACCTACTGTTATTTAAAATGATATTGTTGCACAGACAAGCTATCACAGTTAGTTCTTATGTGAAGGTTTTTAAATCAATATGCCTCCTTTGAAACACTACTTTGGATGGCTCCATTAATTTATTTTATGATGATTTTATCTTTGTAATAGTCTATTTACATAATTCTATTTTCTAGGTATATATCTTAGTTGGCAAACTGATCATTTCTATAATTTATTTCCATTCTACTTATAAGTCCCCACCTAACTGTAGGTAATTCCATTTCATCACTATGGGAAGCTCTTTCTCAATTGATTTGTTGAGGCTTGAGTATGTCAGAAAAACAAAAGAAGAAAATCCTTTCCATTCCAGTCTATCATTACAACCGCTGATTTTAGTTTTTGAAATTTAATGCTATTGTGGTATATTTTACATAACATAAAATGCATACATTTTAAGGATTCAATTGGATTATTCTTGACAAACGAATGATGTAGAATAACACGATCAAAATGCGGAACACTGCCATTACCCCAGAAAGTCCCTTCATGCCCTTTTCTCTCCACCTCCTCCTCAAGCAATTAGTAATCTGATTTCTATCACAATACATTAGTTTTTCCTATTCTAGAACTTCATACAATTGGAATCATAGGGTATGTGTTCTATTGTATATGGCTTCTTTCACTCATAATACAAGTGTATGTTTTCATCAAGGTTATTACATATATCAGTAATTGCTCCTGAGTGCAATTATATGCATATAGTATGCATATAGTATAATTTGTTTACTCATGTATGTGTCTATAATGGACATTTAGAATGTTTCCGGTTTTTAGCATCTTCATTTTTAAGGACAGCAGGCCCTTACTATTTAGTGGTTCTCTGCTTAGCTTTCCAGAACCAATACTTATAGTTCTACGTCCCCAGGCATACTGCCTGGCCATCCTTCTGTGGCTTAAATGCCACCTCAGCATGCTTCTACTCAGTGGTGTGCAGCCCTAGCTGGTGGAGAAACCCTCACATAAAATCATAAAAGCATTTCAGAAATAAATGAATGTAAATATATAAGGGAAGTGATGTACATGCAATTTTTGCTTTCTTCCCTGCAACAAGTCTCCCTATGGCAGGGAGCACAAAATTGTGCTGCAAATTGGATTGGTTAAGTAGCAAAGAAAAGGTAAAAGCACCCTGAGAAAACTCTTAGATTAAAATCTACACATGATTTTATTCTAATTAAAAAATAAATTTAACATTTAGCCTGGAGCACAAGGAGCAAACTAATGGCCTGTATGTCAAAATACACGTTTTTTTTTTAATTATATAGAGTTTCAAAACAATAGTGACACAGCTATCAATATGTAATTTAGATATTTCATGTATGTATACATACACACACACTCAGAATGTTTTAGTAACTCTAGGTCCTTATTCTCTTAAGAAACTAAGGTAATAAGCCCAAGAACAGTTTCAGTAAATAAACTGATAACTTTGAAGGACTAATAGGAATTTTGGTATTAGTCCATCTCCTATTAACTGTATCTATAAAATAAATTGGTTATGTTGAGTTTATTTCTGGGACAAGCAATTGAACATGTGCCTATAAAACACAATGAACTCTTTAGCCCTCCTGGGTTCCTCTGTCTTCAGTTTTAATGTTTCCCAATATTTCGTAACCCACTTCCCTAATTAATTTTTTCTTAGCTCTTATCACTCTCTAACATTAGTGTTCGTCTTCTCTTTTTGAATGTGAGGTTATGAGGACAAGGGACCATTGTCTGTTTTGACTGAAACTCTGACACCTAGAAAAGTCTCTGACCTGGAGCAAGTCATCCATAAATATTTGCTAAGTGAATAAATGAATGAGATACATGAGGACTTACACACAAAAAAAATAAATTTAACTAGATAATCTTCAAATAATTAGCCTTGGCTATTTTTCTAGTGTGAAATATTTGTATTAAAATAATAATAATAACAAATAATAACATTGTGTGCTTATAATGTGCCAGGCAATGTTTTATGCAGTTTCTATATTTCCACTCACTTAATGCTCAAAGATGTGTAGGTGTGTACTATTAATGAAATTATTTTACAAATAAAGTAACCAATGCATGGGAAAGTTCAATACCTTGCCCAAGAATGAAAAGTTAAAATGTTAAGTCAGACATTCTGAATCTAGTGCCTGAGCTATTAATCTCTATAGTGTCCCTCATAACAAAGTCATCTGAAGAGAAAGAGTATTAGATTAGGAAATATTTGATTCTGGTGAAAATGTTTCCATTCCTAATAGCAGAACTGCTTCACAGGGATACATAGTTCCTAGGACACAGTCCAGAGCTGTGGGATGTGGGCATGGATTTCAGTGGTTCAACTTCTCCAAATGCTATAGATTGAATGTTTGTCCCTCCAAAATTCACATGATTAAAGCCTAATGCCCAAAATGACAGTATTAGGAGGTGGGGCCTTTGGGAGTTGAATTGATCATGAGGGTAGAACCCTCATGAATGAGTCTTTATAGAAGAGGAAGAGATACCAGAGATCTTTCTCTCTCCACCATGAGAGGACATGGTAAGAAGCTGGCAGTCTGCAATTCTGAAAACAACCTTCACGGCAACCCAACCACACCGGCATCCTATCTTGGACTTCCAGCCTGAAGAACTGTGAGAAATAAATTCTTCTTGTTTATAAGCCACCCAGTCTGAGGTATTTTGTTACATCACCCTGAATGGACTAAGACAACAAAGGATGGGTTACTTTTCCAGATCACATTTCCTAATGAATGGGAGATTCATTATTGTGTGAGTTTAATTGTGAATATACTTTCTTATTCCTTTCTTATTCTCTAAGGCCTACTCCTTTCTACCTTGACCTGATCCAAGTGTTGCTGAAGGAAATTAACAACTCCTTTATGTACTCCAAAGTTAAGCAATCTGATTATTTCTTTGAGAAAAAAATAAAGGCATGCAAATTCATGAGCAGTAGGTATTTCTCAATATATGTACACACCCTGCTAACAGGAAGGTAGAACACGCTTTCAGTTTCATATCACATATCAAGGCTAAGAGAGAAAAGCCATGGCTGGTGAGTTTTGATTGTTTGTGTTTGTTTGTCCAAAAGAACATATCTTGGGGAAGAAATTTTGGAAGGGGCTGCCTTTTTCAGAAGCCGTAATTAGGTTCTGTGAATGTTTAGGTGAACAGAACTGAAGGAGTGGGAAGAAGAGGAGGTGGGAGGGCAAAAGGAAGGAGGGAAGGGGCCCAGAAGACTTTCACAGGGAGCTTTACTGGTGTTCTGCAGTCATTTTGCAATTGTAACTGAATTCTTAAATGTCATTGTCTGACAGAGGGTTCAGAATTAGCACAAGATGAGTATTAGCAGCTGTTGTCCCCAAGGGAAATAGGCTATCACTGTTTCATTATTTTATTATGCAGAGTTGAATAAGCATATGGGTCAATGTCAGGATGATTCCTGGTTTTCAGGAACTCATTTACAGATAGTAAATCTCAGACTTCAGGCCACTCAGTGAGCATACGAGGGTAATATTGAGAGAAGCATAAGAGATGTGGACATCCTCAGGATGACTGAACTGTAAGTAGAGGGACATTTTATGGATTAAATCTAAAGGAGGCTATTCCCTGTTGCTGACATGAGAGGAAAATGAGATTGTTTTCAAGGCTTGAGGAATCCTTGTGCTTCAAACAGACATGGTGCTGAAGCAGAAGAGGAAGCTGTTTATCCGTTCAGTGAACACAGGCACAATAAATGGCTTATTGGATGAACTATTAGAGAAAAGAGTGCTGAACCAGGAGGAGATGGAGAAAGTGAGACATGAAAATGCTACAGTTATGGATAAGGCTCGAGCTTTGATTGACTCTGTCATTCGGAAAGGGCCCCAGGCGAGCCAAATATGTATCGGTTATATTTGTGAAGATGACTGCCACCTTGCAGAGGTGCTGGAGCTCTCCTCAGGTAAGGCCAATGACTCAGACTAAAGTTCACGTATGCCCTGTGTCTTTGGGCCCATATCTGATTTCTTCGTTGGCCACGTTAGTTTGCAGACAACTTCCTCACAGCTTCAGGGCCTCATTTGTGTGGTAGTGCCATTATTGCATGTCTTCTGTATCTTTTCCTCTTCGTTCCTGTTTTTTTGGTCTCAGGAGCCTTCTTTTGATTAAAATTCATTTCCCATCCCAAGTACATGATAGCTCATTTGTTGAAATTCATGAGAACTTTCTGAAAAGTTTCATACTGTATTCTCCAGTCCTCCTGCCAAGGCACATTATTTATTTATTTAGTTAGTTAGTTAGTTAGCTAGTTAGTTAGTTAGTTAGTTAAAGTCTAGGGCTCTCTAGGAATTTATGTAGTTATCTGACATGAAAACTTAAGATCTGTAACCAGATACTTCTTATAACTCCTCTCCAAAATTTTGTTCTCCAGAAGGAATAGAATGTATTTCAGTGATGGTGAAGCATTCAGAGAATAAATTCAATGTTTACCGAAAAGCAAAGCTTTTAAAAGCAGATTTTTCTAATTGCCCCCTTGCATTTTCTTTTGTGCAGCCTTGTTCACTAGCATGAAACTAGGCTGTGGACCATTCATAAGTCCCCAAACTCGCTATTCCTGTCCTCCTGAGGGCTTGATCCAGGATTTGGGTGTCTGACCTGCCCCTTCTATGGTCTTTTAGTTCCTCCACACAGCAAAGATCGGGGCTCTGGTAGACTCCCACTCACTGGTCTCTTTTAGGCTTCCTAAAACCATTAAAAAGGAGTTGTTCTTTGAAAGCAGGAAGACTTTGTTCCTAGGGATTGGAAGAAGCCTATGCCTGTTTGAGTGACAAAACACATGCTCATTTACTATTTTTCTTACAATACCTCTTTTTCATTTAACACCTCCTCCCACAAAAAAAAAAAATTAAAGACAATCAATAAATAACAATAAGGATCCAGAATAATTGTATAATAGCCAACATTTCTTTTTTCTTGTCTCATTCCTTTCACTCCATAGTCCGTGAACCTTAGAGATACTTGTATAACCTACTATGAGAACTCTAACACCTGGAGTCTACCTCTTTACTTCTCAGATGATGCCTGCTCAGTCAGGGTTGTCATGACTTTGTCTTCCCCTCATCAACTTGCCAATTTTTTTCGAAGCCACAGATTATGAAAATTAGATATAATATTTGAATGACTCTAATGGGAAAGTTTTTTCTAAAAGTAAGTTCTTGGCACGTGCACTACTGCTGTAACAAGGCCTCTTCCAGAAAATGATCTTGAATTTATCAATGGTTAATTTAGTCCAGCAGTCTAGATAGGAAGGAGAGGATAAGCTGCAGCATGTTGCCTTGGGCTTGAAATTTTGTGGGACAGCCTATGGCTTTCCCTCATTCAAAGCAAGGAAATGGACATATTTTGTCTATGGAAATCTTGTCTTTAATAGGTACTATAGAATGAAGACTCAAAGTATTTTACTTTTGTTAGCTCATGCCAATTTTTAAAGTCTCCAGAATAAGCTTCTCAGGTGGGTATTACTATGTTGAGATCCTTATAAAATCTTAAATTTAAATTCATTTTTTGTCCTTGAAATCAATAATCATAATGAATAGTGATCTCAGAGGATATATTAATAAATTTAAGAAATTTTATGCAATTAAACAGTATAACTGAGGCTTTTTTTTTTTTTTCCTTCAGAGTGTGCCAAATGGGTAGCACAAGTGCAGACTACAGAGACTGTGGTCAGGGCTTCTGTTACATGCATAATTGTACAGGGCCTTTTGTGGGCTGGCAGAGTAGCTTAGTGAGTAAGAGCCCAGGATTAATAGTCAAGACAGATTTGTGTTCATATCTAGATCCACCACTTTCCTATTCTATGGCCCTTAGAAAATATATTTAACACTGATTGAGGGTAGACCAATCACCTCATCATTATTTTCTGCTGTGATAAATCCAAGCTTAGATGCTGTTTCTTCTTAGTTTTCTCTGAAGTTAAGGTCAGCTCTGAGTTAAACAACTTCACTCTGAACACATCTTTTATGCAGTAGTAGTCACTTCAGGAACTACCTTGAAACATGCATATTAAAAGAATTCTTGATTCTATAGCTGATGGTGTCTCAATTCCATTTTTATCATAGATAGTAGAAATCAAGGAAGTCATGTCCAGATACGCTTTTTTTCTGCCTCAAATGTTAAAGTCCAGTAATTCATGTGCAGAGGTTTTTGTTTCCCAGTGATGAGTATGGTTCCAGGAAAATCACATTTTGACCAGGATCAAGGCCTACTGAAGTTATTTTCAATAGGGAATGTCCAACACATTGGGGCAAGATTGGGGCAAGAGGTGATAAGTGACTATTTTAATGTTCTTTATCTTTCCTCAGGTCCACAATCTGGAAATTATAATACACAAGACTCCTCAGCAGTGATTCTTCCCTTCTTGGGTAATGGTATGTTAAAAGCAAAAATATTGTTGAACCCCTTGTTCTTTGACATTAACTATAGATTCATGGGATAATCCTGGGGGGAGGAAGCTATGGGTCATTCTCATGGATTGATCCCATGCCCTTCCCTTTTCTCAATCTATTTTGCTTTAGCAGAAGCCACTCCTGCAGCTTCACTACCATGTTTACACTAACAAATTCTGAACCTGTGTCTCAAATCCTGACTACCAACTTGAATGAGACACTTCACTATTCTAGTACTTTCTGAATACACGCACTTACTTCTCCACAGACTCCTTGATCCATATGTGTCCTAGCTAAACTTGCCATCCATTCTTTCCCCCACCTTGCTTCTCTCCAGTTTTCCCTATCTTGGTTAATGGTGCCACCATTGCCCAGTTATTCAAAGCAGAAACCTGAAATTAACTCTTTCTTCTCCGTCACTTCTGACATTTAAGCAGCGGCAAGTTTTATTGATTCCTCTCTCAAATCCAGATCTGTCTCTTCTCTTCCATTTCTATTACTATATTTCAAAGCCCCTATTTCTGCAATGTCCTATGATTCTCCAGATATAACTCTCACTATATTTTTCTTGTATTTTTTAAAAATAAATTCATCATTTTCCCCCAGTAGATTTTAAGCTTTATGACGAAATAGGACATGTCTGACTTAATCAAAGGCATGAACTCATTTAACAATAGTTGACTTATAGTATACATGCAATAAATATTTGTTAAATATTATTTTACTAATTTCATCAAGATTTCTATTATATACCAGGCCATTAGAAAAATATTTAGCTCATGCCAACTGTGTTATAGATCTTGTTCTACAAACCATTTAGAGAGTAATAAACAAGACAAACAAGCTTCCTGATTTTATTGAGAATGTATGAACACACAAATTATGAATGACTAGGTATTTAAGAATCTTCACCATCAAATTAAGGCTACCCTAAAATTTAGGCATGGGTGTGACAGTACACACACTCATATCAGTTAAAATTATATGGAATGGGGCGAAAAAATCAAGTATTTTTAATAGCTTAGATATGATAGAAACTTATGTTTCATTCATAAATGAGCATTCTCCATAGCAGACAGCTCTCTTCCAACTGCTAACTCAGATACCTATGCCTCTTCCATTCTATGGCTTTGATATCTGCAATATACACTGCCAAAGTAACTGTGGTCATAACCATCCAGTTAATGATATTGCAAGAAATATGGGGGATCCTTTGTGAGAGATTTTGCCAGGCTTGGCTTGGATGTGCCACACCATAATTCTGCTTACATTCCATTGTCTAGAACTCAGTTACATGGCCATCTCGACTGCTAGAGCGGCTGTCACCACAGACTAGCTGTGTGCCCAGGAAAAGGCGGTGTCTTGTTGAATAGCTAGCCACTCTCTGCCATAAAAATTTAAAATTTTCATTCCACATAGTATTGGAGGTAGCACAGGAAAATCCTAGGACCCAGATAAAAAGGAAGATCTTAAAACTATTTCAGTCCTCTACTCTGAAAAAATAATCTCAGCTTTATTGAGTCTTGACAAGGTCAATATGTATAAGGTCAACATTCCTTATTAGTAAACCTTATTTTTGTATGAATCTAGTCTCTTGCTAACTAAATAATCAGTGTTTTATTTGTCTTAGAACAGTATTTCACCCACAATTCTGGAATTATTTCACCCGAAAATGACTTTTTTCTCTTAAAATAAAAGACCTTACATTTAAAAGAAATTTAGAAGCAAAAACTTTACCATGTTCAGAAATTACTGCAGTGAATCTATTAAGGGTGGTTATCCCATGCATGTTTTCTTACATATTTCATGAGATGAAACATTCACTATACAACCAATTCCCTATTCCTTTACTAAGAAAAATTATCTCTAATATAATCCAAATCTTTCTCTTTAATTTATTTTATTATTCTCCGGACTCATGTATGAAGAAATAGAACATTTTTCCACCTAATAATAATTACTATAGTTTTCTCCAATATATTAATTCTAAATATCTCTTACTTTACCCACACTAAGCATACTTCATGCTGCCTTGGTTTACCTAATTGAATATTATAGTAATTTCTTCAAATTCTTCTTCAAAACTGAATATAACTTTCTAGTTTGAATAGTTTAGTTTCTGAAAGATCTTCCAAATATTGAGAAAACATTTCTATTTTGAAACAAAGATTATGTTATTTTTCTAGCAAGTGTATCACCCTGTTGAATGGTGTTGAACTTTTTATGAAACAAACTCTAAAGGTTTTACTCACATAAACCACTATGAAAACTCTTCCTCGTGTATTTGAGCAATGTTTAGTGTTATGAATCCATTCAGTGTGCATCTTGATTTTAGCATTTATCATTTTATTTCATGTTCATTTTAGTTAATATATTCAATAATCCTCATCCTCTTTGCCACATGTTTGCACAGTAGAGAGATCCTACATCTCCTTCCTTCCCTCCTTCCTTCCTTCCTTCCTTCCTTCCTTTTTATATGCTTATCATGCCTATTAAGTAAATAAATAAATAAGCATATATGTATATAAACATTGAAATAAGAGTAATTAAGACTTACTTCCATTAAATTTTATCCTCAGATTTAAATCATCAAATTTATACCAACTATTTTATCTAATATACTAATTGTTTTATGAGAGTTCCATCATGCATGGCCCTGAAAAATTCTTTTTTAAATCTTAAATATTTGTAAAAATGCTGATCCTAGGAGATAAAGGTAGAACCTTGTATCACACCACTGGAAATCTCCTCTGGTTTGGGATGTGTTCCAGCAGCAGTGACTCACTCAACAGTGTTGACAACTAGCCCAGAGTTTTTCTCCTAAGGATTCATTTCTTCCTCCATGGCTTTATAAACAGATGATGTTGTGAGTAACGTCAAGTGGGACACTCAGGAATATCATCATTCATAATGTTTCTTGTCTATTGCAGCTCTTCATGCAAAGCAAGACAACCTGACTAAGCTCACATTCCCAGGACCAAGAGGGAGCCTCAAGCTCTGCCCCCTAGAAACAGCTCAAAGGATTTGGAAAGAAAAGTCAGCAGAGGTGCTATGCTCTGAACGCAAGGACCTGGGTGAAAGATACACTGGAGACCATTCTAAAGAGCAGTGGCACATTTTTAGAGCCAATTTCTTTGAGAGGTTTTAGAAAATCATCCTGCTGCTTCCCTTAAAATATTCCTATTTCTTAGAATTCCAGCTTATGAATAAAGGTTCAAGTTTGGTATAATTCTTTGAGTAAATAATTACAGTAATAACAACAATGGCATTCATTGAATGCTTAATATGAATCAGATACTGTTGTAAACTTGTTGCATATAACCACTTGAGCCCTAAAATAACCCATTTTAGAAATCAGGAAACAGCATGAATTGTTAAATATTTTGCCAAAATCAGTAACTTGGAGTCGGTTTTAAGATTCTGTCATTCTGGCTTCAAAACCTGTTCACCTCTCACAATCCTATCTCTCAAAAATAATTAAATCAAGTTCTCAGCTATCATCTGGGCTTTTACAAACTCATTCTAACTCCTCTAGTAAGATTCATTTGCTCTCCCTGTTTTTATCTATGATTCATGAGATTTGGTTTCTGGATAGAACTAAGGGAGGAGAAATGGTCTTAAACCCTCAAGATGAATATTTAATTAAAAAGAACAAGACTGTTTATCCAATCTGCATTTTCTACAGATTTACCCAATAATGGAAAAATCAATTCGCACACGTCTTGCCCTCATTATCTGCAACACAGAGTTTAACAATCTTCCCAGGAGAACTGGAGCCGATGTTGATATCAGAGATATGAAGACGATACTAGAAGATCTGGGCTACACTGTGGATGTAAAAGAAAATCTCACTGCTTCGGTAAGGCTTTTCATAATGTAGAGACAATGGTCATGTCCTCCACATTTCTAAAGAATGTTTGACTATAACACCAGAAACTTAGTCTCTTGATAGTTTAAAATTTACATAGATGGTGCATAATGCTACAATAACCCCTTCAAATGTAGTCTTTTTGCAGAAATCTGGTGGAACTTTTGGGGGGGATAAATGTTCTATTAACTCAGTAATACCCATTTCTCTCTACTAGAAATCCCTGAATGGCATCCTATAACCCTATACTGCTTTTCTTTAAATTGAAACTTAAATTTTCATTTCTATCTCAATTATATTCATATTACCCAGGGATTCCTTAGTGTCTTTATTGAAATCTCAAGGTGCCATAATAATGAATTTCGCAGTCCAATATCAGTGGTGTGGTCTCTTCCAGGATATGACTATAGAGCTGAAGGCATTTGCTGCCCGCAAGGAACACAAGACCTCTGACAGTACTTTTCTCGTGTTCATGTCTCATGGTATTCGAGATGGCATTTGTGGGAAAAACTACTCTGAAGAAGTCTCAGATGTATTGGAAATCAACACCATCTTTCAAAATTTGAATACTCGGAGCTGTCCAAATTTGAAAGACAAACCCAAGGTGATCATTATCCAGGCCTGCCGTGGTGGTGAGTGCTGATGCCTGCTAGAACACATGATATAAGAGTATTGACCTCATCATTTATATACATCCAGTATTTTTCACTTTTTGTGTGTCTGCTCCTTAATGTCAAAGAACACTTACTTTCACCAAACAAGATTGTAGTTTCTGAGGGTTGTGCGAATGGATGGTAAATATTTGTTTCATTTTTAACTAAAGAGATACCATTTTTAGCCTTAAGACTTTGATGTTTTGATGTTGTTAGAATTTGTTTAAGGGTTTGTAAAGGTGAGTTATTAAAAATATAGTTCCTGAGATGTATGTGTGTATATGCATGTGAATGAATGATAGATAGCGACAAATAAATCAGTAAATATGGTTTAGCCGAGGTTTAGGGGAGAAAGTAGTTCTCTTGGCTAGTAACAAGAAATCAAATCTTGCCTTTTCAGAGAATCAAGGGGTGGTGTGGTTAAAAGATTCAGCAAAAGCTTCTGAGAACAGTTCTTCACTGCCTCCAGAAGATTTCGAGTATGATGCCATTAAGAAAGCCCATATAGAGAAGGATTTTATTGCTTTCTGCTCTTCAACACCAGGTACCTGTATAGTACACCTTTGTGGGCATCACCAATGCAGAAATTCACCCCCACCCACTAGAGAATAGATATCTGCTGATCTTTCCATGAGACTTCTGAAGAACAACTCAAGCATTCCTCTCAGTTATACCTTCAATTTCCCTTATCTACAGAGAGCAAATGTGCATATATTTTTGCTAAATTAGTAATTAGTAAACTCCCACAGTGCAAAATATTTTCTTGGAACCATGAGGGATAAATAGAAGAGTATCTACACTGAAGTAAATTAGAATCTGACTCCACGTGGTAAAGGTCTGCAATGTTGGGATCATTCGGCAGTTCCATTTGCCTAGACATCATGTGTTTACTGAAAAGTAGTGTTTATAGAAGGAGTAGAGAGAGGCAGAAGAGCAGACAAGGAATATCAAGTCTCTAAGTTAAATTGGTTTCAACTAAAAGTATGAGATGGATGAAAAGACAGGAATTAATGATTTCTAAATCTAGGCTATGGATTAAGAACACTGCTGATTATATTCTGACTTCGCCATTTAGTACTTTGTAAACTAGTTCCACTTATTTAGCCCCTCTGGGCTTTCTTTGAATTCCTTACTAACATATGTAAATACAAATATCATTATTCTTAGGATTAAATGAGATAATATATGAGAAATATTGAACATGACAAAGAGTAAAGCACACATAAAATAGCTGCTATTATTAAAGATTTTTCTACTTATAACTTTAATCAAGGGTTTTATCTTGAGTTACTTTCTGTCTCAAGGTTTAAATAAAAGTCATTTGAATTATTTTATCCACTATCTTTTGAAATTTCTTGGGCATTCACATTCTTTTGATTTGCTAGGGCCTTAAGGCCTTGCCTCTGCTCAAATAGTTTAATTTACAGATTAGACTATTTTCTGTAATGAGGTACCATCTCTCAGGAGAGAGCCTGGTTCTGCATTGTGTTGGTCAAGTCTTAATGTAGAAATGAGTGATTTTTTTTTCATCAAAAATAATGACACTAGGCAAAACCAAAACATAACAAAACAAAAAATAACAAAACAAACAAAATAAAACCTCACACAATTACAGCTTGAGCATATTTAGCAGATGTTAGTATGAGACAAAACTATTCTTTAAAATCCTTTGATTCTGGCTTCCACAAAAGATTTACCTCTGGCTACATAGTCTTTTATAGACTCCTGGCTTCTCAACATTCATCTTACTGATTTATTTCTCCTTTTCTTTTATTTTTCTCGCCCCTCCTTTCCAGATGACTTAAAAACTCCAATTCAGTTATCCTCAGCTAGTTACCTTCCACTAGCAAGTCTAGCTCCATGTTCTCTGGTGTTGATCCCAACCACTTTATAGTGCTGTCCTGAAGAAACATGGCCATTCGCTCCCTAATTTTGCAAAGAATTTGAAGAGATATCTTCCTCCACTCTCTCTCTCAATCCCTTCTTTACTGGAATGAGCCTCATTAAACAGCTATGGTTTTAAATAGAATTTCAATATAATATTGTTATATATTTTATTACCATTATTATTGGCTAAAATGTTTGGTTAAAGTGTGTGTCCATAGTTATATACTTAGCTATTTATACCACTCTTCTCTTATTTATTTCTTTGCATAATTTTAAAATGGCTTTATGATTTCTATGTCTCTACTATTTTATATAATTAATACCATTCTTCAATATTTCTCTTTCATAAGACTGTTTTGTCCTCCAGTGGAATATAATATAATCTTTTTCTTTTAAACCTTTTCTAGGTTTGTACTTTCTTTATATTATTACCATTTTCATATTTCATTAATATTTTCTTTGTCTAAATATCTTATGATCAATATTATTTGATTTTAATTAAATTATTTATAAAGTAGATATTAAAAAGCTATTAATATTACTACACTGAATAGACTGGATATTACATAGCTTATATTCTCCTAGACACTTATAATACATTGGATTTAATCTTCAGATATCCTTTTTTGTGGCAGAAATTATTACCCTACCCTTTGTAGCCGAGACCATTGCATTTCAGAGTGTATAATTAACTTAAATCAGGGTGGTATATAACACTCTTAGAATTCACACTCAGGTATTCCTTCCCCAAGGCCCAATCACTTCCCTCTACCCCATTCTGCCTTTCCCTCCCTCTCTACTAGGTTTGCAGCTCCTTGAACTCAGAGACTACGTATCTTAACATCTGTACCATATATGGTATCTTTCTTATGACATTAACAATTGTCAAGTATCAGTAAAAATATACTCACTGAATGTTGAATATATTCACTAAATAATGGCATGCAGTGTATACAAAACAGCATGAACTCAGCAGACTCCCTCAGCTGAAGTGGAAATCCTTGCACTCAATCTCTGGACAGGCAAAAGTTTTGCATGAGATTTGGAATGTGTTCTATTCACAGATAATGTTTCTTGGAGACATCCCACACAGGGCTCTCTTTTTATCATGAAACTCATCAAACATCTCCAAGAACATGCCTGGTCCTGTAATCTGGAGGAAATTTTCCAAAAGGTAGGGGTCTAGATGTTTCTCACATGCTCCTTCCCTGGATATTTGACTATTTCAGTTGGAAACCTAGGGAGCAACTCTGGTCATGCTAATCTTACAGAAATGCCCTTCTTTCCAAACTAACTTTGGAGGTTCTTTGGTGAGTCGGCAAAACTGAAAGACAGATCCAACCTGCTATGATCTAAAAAACAAACAATCCCTAGAAAATAATAATTTATTTTAACTTCTCTCTAGCCCTGAGTAGACAAACAAGTGGATTTGCCTGTGTCTATAGCTATTAGATCCAGCAGCAGATTTTAAAAGTCTGGTCATGCCGTGCTTTGATTATACATGCTGCTATTCTTATGAATACACCAACTTTTTGTGTTTATGATTTATTTTGCTATACGTTTTGTAATTTTTCCAGCTTAAGTGAAAATTCTTCCACTCAGGAAAAAAAAAAATACGGACTTCCTTTTCCCTTCAGGTTCGATTTTCATTTGAGCTACCAGATGGTAGGGCACAGATGCCCACCACTGAAAGAGTGACTTTGACAAGATATTTCTACCTCTTTCCAGGATATTAAAATAAGTAAGTTGTATCAGTGTCTACGGACAGAAGTGTGTGTGTGTGGTGGAAGGGAGTGAGGTTGGGGAAAGAG